CGCCCCGCCTTTGTGGCTCAGTGGTAGAGCATCTGTCTTGTAAACAGAAGGTCCCCGGTTCAATCCCGGGCGGAGGCATCTCCTTTTGTCGCCCTCGACGAACTGTGAAATGTCCGCACTTTATATGCTGCCGGAACTCCACAAAAACGACGGCAGACATGTATCAAGGAAGGGAATGATTTAAGCAACATAACTCGTTTCTTGCATTCATGCATCCTTCATGGCTTCCTGAACACAACGCGGTGAACTCCTCTTTTGCTGTAAAATACTGAGTAGTCTTCAATGGACGTAGACCCATGGGTTACTTGATGTCCCTTCTCATGGGCCAGAGGATTTCACTCCACCTGAAAAACAATTCGTTAGTGGGCTTTCTTCAGCTGCGATGTCATGGAGGAGATGTACACAATCGATTCGCCTTCGACTTCGGCGGCACGGGGCCCCTTGGCCTCTCAATTCATAGCAAGCTTGTGGAAGCCACAAGCCCGCCTTCCTGGTCAAGCTGAACTGGGCTGTGGTACGACCAGAATCCAAGGTGAGGATCTGAAACGACGTCCTTACTGCGCGCGATTGAAGGGAGCCTCTTTTTTGACGACGCCACGATGACCCAGGTATTGGGGAGAACCGAAACGTCGTCGTAGTGGCTCGTACAAGGGGAGCTGTGTGCGACAGGAGTTAGAGGTGCTCAAGGCACACGCAACTACATCTTTTGTTTACCACACCGTTGTTGCAACAGCCCTGGCACAATAGAGTCGTACTATCAATGCAACTTCATTGTCAAGATCGCGATGATCCCCAACATCCTCACGGAGTTTCCCAATGAACGCATAGACCTGTTGCGGTCGGGGCCTTATGTTTGCCACGTTCGGCCTGATGAACTGCAAATTGGTGCGAACAGCGAGGCTATGTGGTCACAGGTAAGTATTTCGTCGCGGAACTCGGCAAAGTAGGCCGATGCATCACGCACGTCAACCTTTTCATGTCTGAAAGAAGGGCGACAAGCACTCGTACAAAGCGTTCCGTTTGGCGTCGCAATACCATTTGCGTGTTCCTCTTGGAGATTCTATTGTTCACTATGTCCATGTCGACACAGGAACGAGACGATCTACAGTGCGAATATACATGTACAAGACTTCATCTAGGCCACTGCAGGTGCGAGGTTGCTCGTGCTCGGAGGCGCGGTAAAGCCACTAGTATACGCAGCCCGTTTGTTTCAAACTTAAAATTTCGTTGTCCTCAACTCAATCCCGGCTACGTCTTTCGCTCCATTCGACATCAAATCTTACAATACAGGCCGAAATGCTGCCACAACGTAGCATCGAGGTGCTTCGCGCGGGTAGACCAGAAGAATTGCTTGCATTCCGTGGGTTTTCTTCATGTAACTACTGGGCCATCGCCCTCATGCATGCTCGAATGGTCGCCCGGCAACGGGCCATGACGTCGGGTGGCTTCTTCACTCTGAAGAGCAAGAGAATGGAGGCAATGGATTGGTTGAATGAGTTGGCCATCTGCCAATCAGGTACGTTCAGATTCCATCCTACGCTTTGATTGGATAGACAGTATATCGACAACTTCCATTTCGATTCTTTGTCATGAATGTCCTTGTCCTTGGCGGCACCGGGCCTCTCGGCCTTTGCATTCTCAGCCAGCTCGTGGAGGCCAAGCACAAGCCCGACTTCCCAGTCAAGCTCAATACGATCACTGCAGTGGTACGCCCAGAATCCAAGAAAAAGGTCAGCGACGACGTACTTGCTGGGTTGCGTTTGATTGAAGGGAGCCTCTTGAACGACGCCACGATGACCCAGGCACTAGAGAACCAAAACGTCATCATTGTGACCGTTGGCCACGGATCTGTGTGCCACGAAAGCATGGAATTGCTTAATGCTCGTGCTAACGTGTCCCCTGCTCACCGCATTGTCGTCGTTACGTCGTTGGGCACGAATGAGTCGTACGACGAATGCAATTTCTTTACCAAGACTCTTGTGAGCACTCTTCTTCGCACTGAAATCGGCCACAAGAAAATCCAGGAAGATTTGTTGCGGTCGGGCCCGTATAGCACGTCTGAGACGAAGGATTACGTGTTGGTGCGTCCTGGTGGGCTCACCGATTCCGAGACGACAGGCGTGTACACCGCCGCGGAGCGAGGCATTGCCGGCGGACGCATCACGCGCGGCAACGTTGCACATTTTATCGTGAACGAGCTCGTGCCAGGCAAGAAGGGAGACAAGTATTCGAACAAAACCTTTCAGCTGGTTTAACCCGACAAAATGAAAAGCTTTGACAGTGTCTCGACCGTCCCACCTGCCTGCGCGCGGTTGTGGGAGCCGCTCCCTCAGCTTTACGTCATCGCGGTCGACTGGACAAACTAGCGCCAGTTCGCACGCGGGCCGCGAAAGCGCTTTGTCATTTGTATCAAAAGCCACCGCAGCACCTCACGCGTTGTACGAAAGAATTCCGGACGATTCGTTTTAACTACAGGTGGACATCTCGCCGAGGAAATGCGAGGATTTTTTCCCTTCGCCCCGACGACATTTACGCACGCTTGTCGCCGTTCCACTTGTAAAAGCCTTGGCCGGTCTTTCGCCCCAACTTGCCGTCGTTCACCTGTTTGTGATGTCGTAAGTGGTAAAGTCATTCACGGCGACGAACGCACCATTTGCTTCAAGATCGACGGCACGACAAAGGAAGGCTCGTTCGGGTATTTCTTCACCCAGCCTTCGAGAATAAACAAGATCGTGTCCAGACCAATGTAATCCGCCAACGTAATCGGGCCCATGGGATGACCAGCGCCGAGTTGCATGCTGATGTCAATGTCTTCCATGGACGCGTCACCGCGCTCGAGGAGTTGCAGCGCTTGGACCAAGTTCGGCACGAGCAAGCTATATACGCTTAGCCACGCGCGAGAAGATGAAAAGGGAGACATCGCGTACCGATTCACGATGAAGCCAGGCGTGTCTTTGCAGCTCACGGGAGTCTTTCCCACCGACAATGTCCATCGTTTGGCGAGATCAAACACATTCGGGTCCGTCACGTCGGTCTTCACGACCTCCACGAGCTTCATCAATTGCACAGGGTTAAAGAAGTGCAAGCCCACAACCTTGTCAGCGCGCCCAGAGCTGCCTGCAAAGTCGCCGATCGGGAGCGACGACGTGTTGGACGCCAAGATGCCGGACGGCTGGACGATTTGACCAAGTTCCTTGTAGAATGACTTCTTGATGTCAGTGTCTTCGATGATTGCCTACAAAAAACGGGTAAGACAACGAGCACGCACGTGGCGTGAATGGCGTGCCTCAATCACCAAGTCGCATGGCGCCAATTCCTTCTTATCGATTGTGCCGTGAATTCGACCCATGATGGACGCAAACGAATCCTTCGCTTGTTCGTCCGTGAGTTCTCCCTTCTTGATTTGGCGCGCATGGAGTTTTTCCAAAGAACCTTCAATTCGCTTCAGGCCGGCATCCAATCCCTTTTGGTTCGAGTCGACCGCAATCACATCATATCCTGCCATGGCAGCCGTTTGGGCAATGCCGTGACCCATCAAGCCCATGCCGACCATACCCACGCGGGTGATCTCAGGGACCATTTTCGACGAGAACGCGCGGCGCGTGAACGAAGGCAGCATCGTGCCTCCTGCTGACGGATTCCAAACTGAGGTGCCATCCTGGAGAAGGAATTGCCACAAGATGTGTAATTCCGAAAAGCCACTGTCTAATTCGGATATTTGTCAAGTTTTAGTGCTTTTGTCATAGCGTTGCAAAATATACTTGGAATATATATTACAGAAACGCGACATCAGTCAGTTTACTGTTGATCATTCAGAGCTTAGAAATTGCATCCGGATACCAATTTGAAGAACGTTGTTGCGTTGACAAAACACTTGGATGAGGAAGTACATTGCATTAGATGGGGCAATGTCAGAGGTGTCGCCGACGACTTAGAAGGTTTCCCAGTTGCTTGGAGGATCAGCAGGCTGCGTGGCCGTAGGCGAAGCGAAGGAGCTAAACACACCGAAGTTGTCGCTTTGCTTGGCCGCAGTAGGTGCTGCCATCGGCTTGACTGGCGCAGGGTTGTCATCGGCCTCTGCGCTCTTCTTGTTGAGCTTGATCTTGATGGTTTGCCCTTCTTTAAGCGAAAAGTCCCTCGACACAGTGGGGGCAGTCACGGCCGCGTGCTCTTCTCGCTTCACCTCGCTACAAGGATGACGTATCGAGTGGCCAACATCACTAAAGAAGACGCGGGCTTGGCGTACTTTTGGTGGTCATCGATGGCCACGTTAAAGTCGAACGCATCGTTTCGATCTTCGAATGCAATACCAATGAATGCATGACGACCTGGTGGAATCGCATTCGTGAGAAAATCCCACGGGATTTCGACGAATGACAGTACCGGACTTGGCATCCACAACACGCAAGACGAAGTAGCGGCTGCTGTCTACCACTACACCAACAGAAATGAGCGCCAGAAGCTGCGAAACATCGCTGAAGCTATGCCTTTCGTTACTGCGGGGGGACCGTCTTTGGAAATGGGACATGCAGCGAACAATGCGCCTGCAGCACACACCACATTCAGTTGGACCTGCCAACACACCTCGGCGAGATACCAGTCTTGGCGTCGCGCAACTGGATTTGAGTCGCATCGTTGATCGCAGAAATGACCAACCGACCTGTCCACACCGGGTCTTTTGGCCACGAGTCCGCCCTGCGTCATGAATGAGCGGCCCTGAATAAACTACCCGCCCAACGTACCGATGCCCAGCAGCCGATGATTGTGGGGGTATTTTAAAGGCAAACACTTGATTGATCACTTTCAAGACACGTTCAATTGCTTCGTCTAGAGCACCAAACGCATGAGGACATTCCTTATTTTGCCTAGCCACCGCGCGCCTCACCAGCCATTGTCGTCGGCACTCGGACACTGGCTGAGGTTTAGATTTTCGCGAAAAACGAAACGGACGACACAACTTTATCCGAAGATCGCGAAATCCGGATATTTCCGGAAGAATCGATTCATGTTCGGATGACCTCGTCGGCCAATCGACGGCATCAGCGCGTTGTCGTCATGACAAAGATCGCAATGGGCCACATGCACATTTTGAAACATCATACCAAGCCCCCATGACTGACTACACGACGCTCCAAGTCCACGCAGGCCACGAAGGCGGCGAGCCTGGGTCCCGCGCCCGCGCCGTCCCCATCGTGGCGTCCACGTCGTTCCTCTTTGACAACGCTGACCACGCCGGCAAGCTGTTTGGTCTCCAAGAGTTTGGCAACATCTACTCGCGGATCATGAACCCGACAAACGACGTGTTTGAGAAGCGCGTGACGGCGCTATCTGGCGGCGTGGCGTCCGTCGCCGTGAGCTCTGGCCAGGCCGCACAGGCCCTGACCATCTTCACGATCGCGCAAGCCGGCGACAACATCGTGGCGACGTCGTCCCTGTACGGCGGCACGTACAACCAGTTCAAGGTCGCGTTTCCCCGCCTCGGCATCCAAGTCAAGTTCGCCAACCACGCCGACCCTGCCTCGATCCGGTCGCTGATCGACGACAAGACCAAGGCAATTTACGTCGAGACAATCGGGAACCCCGAGCTGGAAGTGCCCGACTTTGACGCGATCTCGGCCATCGCCAAAGAGCACGAGATCCCGTTCATCGTGGACGACACGTTTGGCGCGTGCGGGTACCTCGTCAACCCGATCAAGCATGGCGCCGACATTGTCGTGCAGAGCGCGACCAAGTGGATCGGAGGCCACGGCACGACCATTGGCGGAGTTGTGACGGATGCCGGGACGTTCAACTGGGGCAACGGCAAGTTTCCCATGATGTCGGAGCCGAGCCCGGGGTACCACGGCCTGAACTTTTGGAAGGTGTTTGGTCCGGGGGGCGTCTTGGGGGCGAACGCGACGTTTGCGATCCGTCTGCGTGTGGAGAACCTGCGTGACTTTGGGTCGAGCTTGAGTCCATTCAACTCGTTCTTGCTCATCCAGGGCCTCGAGACGCTCAGCTTGCGCGTCGACCGCGCCGCGGACAATGCGTTGACGTTGGCGCAGTGGTTGGAGACGCACCCGAACGTTGCGTGGGTGTCGTACCCCGGCCTTCCGTCGCACCCGTCGCACGAAAACGCCAAAAAGTACATGTACCGGAAAAAGTACGGCGCCGTGTTGACCTTTGGCGTCAAGGGCGGGCTGGAAGCGGGCCGGTCGTTCATCAACAGCGTCAAGCTGGCCAGCCACTTGGCCAACGTTGGCGACTCCAAGACGCTCGTGATCCACCCGGCCAGCACGACGCACCAGCAGCTTGTGGAAGAAGAGCAATCGGCGACGGGCGTCAAGCCCGACATGATTCGCGTGTCGGTCGGTATCGAGCACATCGACGACATCAAGGCCGACTTGGACCAGGCACTGGCGGTGTTTGTGGCGAAGTAGGTGCGTAAGTCGAGAGTAAATTTTGCCATGTGCGTGGAAGGTGGAGCTGGGTACGTTGTGCCCATCATGACTTGGTCGATCTACAACGAATGGACGCCATGCGGGTCAATGACTCTGCTGGATGCGGCAGGTAGAAGGAATTACTCCAATGTTCCTCCAGGTCTTCTTGCCACGGCTCGGTGCAGAAGTCGTGGGGAACTTGCTTCATGAAATATCTTGGATGGAAAAGGACCGTCGCCACAATTGGCTGCATGCTGCGCGATAGCTGCAGGGACGAGATGCGACCGGGTCGCCACCGCACGACCTACCTTCGATATGTTGTTTGAGTGGACAGGTAGCGGTCGAGCAGTACTGCGGGGGGTTGGAGGTGCATCCTGCCACCCAGTCAAGGCGATTCAGTCGGGAGCACTCACTGACGACGACATCGCCGCGATGTGGACGAGTCGAGTTGCTCCGTTCTATTCGAGAGTTCGTCATTCATGTGCCAACCTTCCTCACGATGGTCCATCGCTGGGAGGACGTGGATTATGTATCATGATGTTGAATCAAGTGCAGGACACCCTGCACGGAAGCACACCGCACGCAAGATGACCCCAAGGTCGACTTGAGTTATTCCATGCCATTTGCAGGATGTGAAAGCCGGCTGTTGTCGTCGATCGCCGCTCAACGGGCACATGTCGTGCTCTGCCCATCCTCGTTCAAGGTGGTGGGACCGATCGGGACGACCTCGACTCGTCATCCCTTTGAGACTCCTTTCCCTCCGCGCTGCTCCGAGACTGCTTGAGTTGTTTGTGTGTACTCGTTCCAGTCGAGTGTACCGCCAGCGACAGGGCCAGGTAGATATGACTGGCACACGTTATGACGGATCGCACGGTGGCCAACGCAGGCACGAATGAAAGCTCTGTCCTTTGCATGGCGATGGGTCGTGCGTGGGGTCGGAGGGCAGTCATGTCGATCCACTGCGTCTCAGGAACAAGGAAAAGTGCATTGCAAAAACGGACAATTGCTACACGACATCGCACGGCCCGGCGTTGGTCGATGGCGACATCACAGCCATGACAAGACTACTAATAGGCAGGTCAAGGCCGGGCATCGACAGCAGGTTTCTTTCCAAACACCGCCAGTGCCTGGTCCAAGTCGGCCTTGATGTCGTCGATGTGCTCGATACCGACCGACACGCGAATCATGTCGGGCTTG